AGCATGCCACAGAGTTGTATATTATTTATATGGTTTTATTTACTTGGTTAATAAATCATGCCAGTTGTCTCCAGAAACGTAACTACAGTGTTCCAGGAGAAGAATAGTTAAAATGATAAAAATAACAATTTCAGTACAATCCAGCAATTTCATTAGATAGCCAATGCCGTCGCTGTTGCCCATTTTTTATCTGAAGTTTAGCCACGTGTGCTTCCTCTATTTTATCAGTTTTATACTTGTTCTATTTGTGCAATGCTTTTGACACAAAATAAATAAATTAGATAGCCAGAAATTTCATTGTACTAAATGGCACTGACTCTTAGAGGTGAAAACAAAAAGCTGTGTTGCTATGAGTTTTCCGGGCTGTATGTCCATGTTCCAGAAGCATCCTCCCCTGATGTTTCACCCACCTTTATCAGAGATTTTGAGGTCTGTTGGAAACTAGGCAAGTGAGGTTTATATATTTGTGGAATGTCCAGGGTGGGAGAAAGAACTATTTCTTTATTTACTGTTCTGATTTTAGGGTTTTTAAAAAACTGGTAGCCAGATTTTGTTCATGTCCATGGTTTCCTCCTTTCTGTTGAAATTGTCCATGTGCTTGTGGATTTCAGTGGCTTCTCTGTGTAGTCTGACAGTGTGGTTGTGAAAGTGGTCCAGCATTTCTGTGTTCTCAAATAATATGCTGTGTCCAGGTTGGTTCATCAGGTGCTCTGCTATGGCTGACTTCTCAGGTTGAAGTAGTCTGCAGTGCCTTTCATGTTCCTTGATGCGTGTCTGGGCAATGCTGCTGCGTTTGGTGGTCCCTATGTAGACTTGTCCACAGCTGCATGGTATATGGTAGAGTCCTGCAGAGGTGAGAAGGTCCCTCTTGTCCTTTGCTGAATGTAGCATTTGTTGGATTTTTTTTTCAGTGGGTGTGTATATAGTTTGTATGTTGTGTTTCCTCATCACCTTCCCTGTGCAATTAGTGGTTCCCTTGATGTATGGCAAGAACAGTTTTCCTCTAGGTGGGTCTATATCTTTACTCTAGTGACTTGTTCTCAGTCTTTCAGCTCTTCCAATGCCTGAGGTGGAGTATCCATTGGCCTGTAGAGCCCAGTTTGGGTCGTTCAGTTCACCTGGAGGAGGTGGAGTTTGCAGATTGTTTTTGCACCATCTGCCAGGGCTTTAATTGTGTTTCTTTTTTGACGGGTGATGGTTGAAGTTCTTATGTAGATATCTAACTGTGTGTGTGGGTTTTCTGCAAACTGTGCGGCCCAATTTTTTATAGGGTCTGTGGATGACTAGGACATCTAGAAATGGCAGTTTTCCTTCATTTTCTTTTTCCATGGCAAATTGGATGTTTGGGTGGATGCTGTTGATCCAGTAACTTGTTGAGGTCTTCTTCTCCATGGCTCCAAATGGTAAAGGTGTCATCCACATATCTGGAACATATAGTGGGTTTTTGTTGCTTTTTCCAGGGCTTTTTTTTTTCAAAGTATTCCATGTAGAAATTTGCTGTGGTTTGGAAGAAATTAGATGGTTTTAGATGTCAGCACAGATAAAAGTATAATAATTGGAGAAGACCATAGGCAAAGAGGGCCTTGCTAATACAGTGCATACCCACTACAGCCTATATTTTAAGAGAATAGCTACCAAATTCATGTAGTGGTTTTGTTGATGATTTTGAATGTCTGGGATGTTGATATACCAAACCTTAGGCTCCAACTGCCCTTATTCTTTACTGTCCGACTCAGGACTTTATCACACAAAAGAGCATTTAAAACTGGCATTGAAGAGTGTCTCTATTGCATAATATCATGTGAATTCTGCAATCAGTTTACCTTCTCCCTGTCATTAGCCCATCCTTTACTATTGACAGGAAAAATCCATCAATCCCACAACATTCCCATCACATATCTTGGGTGATGGACCTAAACTATTCCACTTTTGTGCTGGTATGCAGAAGTGATACCAGAGAGCAACATTTTCCTTATTCCTGGTTCACATCCCCAGCTTTTTAATTTTTAGTTTGTGGTAATATTTTACTTATAAAAATAACCATTGCCGGAACTGCGAAATTGCTTTAAAACAATAAAAAACCCATGAAGCAGCATATGTTAGAAAAACAGGGGATTACGAGAGTATATGCAACCATGAAACCATGGTGAATTGATGTTATTGCATTAATGGAGCGAGGTGAAATAGCAAATGTGCTCATGTGGCCACAAATGATGATTGTGTGACTGCCATAGAATAGCAATTTTGTGCAATAAAATTATCTTTCTCAGATTCTTTCAGAGGTGTATTAATGTGTATTAATTGGTAATAAGAAAATTACTGTATTGTTGAAGGCTTTCATGGTCAGAATCACTGGATTGTGGTGTAGTTTCAGAGCTGTGCAGCTGTGTTCTAGCAGCATGTTCTCCTGACGTTTCACCTGCATCTGTGGCTGGCATCTTCAGAGCATCCACCCCAAGAAATTTACTGTAGTAAAATGGTAGCACAAGGGTTTTTTTAAATTCAGAATTCAGAATTGGAGTCAGTCAGTACAGTTCTTCTAATGCTGGCTCCGCCCAAAATTTCTTCCAGTGCTCACTTCATGAATTTGACTCTCCACAGTCTTACTGGGATAGGCAACAACCTGCTAAGGATAATTATTAATGCTCTTTGGAGCCTTTTGGAAGAAGTAGGAGTGTGCATATGTAACAAAGATGAAAACACTGGCAAACCCATTTCCTTTTATTTCTCGTCCTTTCTCCATTGTTGTGTGTGAACGTTCACACCATCCTTTATGTCACACCTTTTGTATCCTCTTTAATCACAGCTTTGCTCCTTCCTTGGTTGTTGTATACATTTCTCGGTCCTTCCAAAGCAGTATTTTTGCAAATGTATCTAGGTCAGGCAGGTGACCCAAATTTCTCCTTTTAGCAGCACATGTTGCTTCTACCTTTTCCACAGGTACTTGAAGGGACCCTCAAGCCAGTGGTGAAACATGACATTAAGCGCTTTCCTTTTCGTATTTAAATCCATTCACATAGTTTCTGTCTTTGAAAGTTGTAGGGTGCCATTATTTCTCTTTCCTTCCCAATTTCTTCCTACTTTATGAGCTGTGGGTTGAGTACACAGTGTGGAGCTGTGGGCTTGCATACAGCCTCCAGGGCAATTTGGTGGATCTCAATCCCTCCAGCCTCCTTGGTTCAGCCTCAAAAAGCCAGCACTTGAATTTCTGCTCCTGCAAGTCCCTAGGAAGGGAAACCCATATTTTAAATGAATTACAGAACCATTTGCAGATTTTGTAATATGATAAAATACCTGTTTTTCAAAACCAGAAGCAGACTTGTGGCTACTGTCCTATTTTTTGTATGTTTTTATTGCTGTGGGGGAGTACTTTTGGATGGAAATCTCCGAATCTCTCCCTATTAAAGAAAAGCTAGACAAGAATGAATGTATAAATTTGGATATAAGTCCACTTCATATGTATTTTGAGGGGACATTTAAGGGCCAAAAATGATAGATTTTGACATATTCTGAAGATAGGTGGAATGGCATTTTTGGAGACAGGAAAACTCTAGGACTTTGTTGACCTTGGCTGCCACCAGAAAGCGCAGAAGCAGAGAGAGAGTAGAGAGGATCAGTGCTTCTTTTAGGTTCTTAGAGGATGGACGAAGATCCCATCTTTTAACATATCCTCAGAGAAGGGGTTGGCTCTTATCTTTTTTGATAAGAGCTAAGGTACAGTGCTTATTTGGACCCATATATATGTGGACCCTTTTTTGTGGTCAGTTTTTAAAGACTTCTACATGAGTAATATAATATAATCTCTGTCAAAAGCCAATATATATTTGGGTTGTTGTAGGTTTTCTGGGTTATAGCCATGTTCTAGAAGGATTCCACAGATATATAAACCCAATTTTTCAAGTTTCCAACAGACCTCACAGCCTCAGAAGATGCCTGCCATAGATGCAGGCAAAACATCAGAAGATAATACTTGTCTGTTGGAGATAGATGTGAATGTTTCAACTGGCCACCTTGATTAGCATTTGATGGCCTGACAACACTCAAACAAAGGGGAACTCCAGACAAAAAACAATCAGGGACAGCTAATCACCTCTCAACAAAGGATCCCCCCAGGCAGTAACAAGCTCTATCTAAAAACTGTAAGGACATCAAATGCTAATCAATGTGGCAATTGAAACATAAACACCTAGCTCCAACAGACAAGAGTTCTTTCTCCCACCCTGGACTTTCCACAGATATATAAACCTAATTTTCCTATTCCAACAAACCTCACAACCTCTGATGATGCCTGCCATAGATGCAGGCAAAACGTCGGAAGAGAATGCTTCTACAACATGGCCATATAGCCCGAAAAACCTACAACAACCCAGTGATTCCAGCCATTAATCTTTTGACAAGTCAATATATAATTTTCAAGGCCAGCATTCCTGAATGAGAGAATACCAAGCAATGATAAGAAGAAGAAACATTTCTGAAAAGGAGAAACCTTTTAGACAATTTGTTTTTCAGGTGTAAGGAGAGGATAAGATAGCAGGTTATGCTGATTTATGAAATGCTAGGATAGTAAAGACCAAGTCGATGCAGTAGATTAAGGCCACCTAAAATCACATTTAGTTGCTGCATCATAGCGTTGACTTATGCTCAGCTTGTGGCCAACTAAGATTCCTAGATCACTTTCACGCCAAGTGTTCTTCCCCCTCTAAGAATCTGCTAATCCTTCACTGGTTCTGGTCCTTTCAATGAAGTATGTTGGATTGGTGCTATGAAAAATATTGTGGGAAGGAAAAGAGAATTGAAAGAAGCCTTTGTTGAAAAAGTTTGAAGACAAGGATGAGAATATGAATACATTTAATGCTGTGCTTAGGTTGCCACTTTGTTCTTTGTGTCTCTAAGCATCTCTAAAACTTGCACAATGCTGCCCATTTCTGACCGGAGTCGCAATCAGTTGCAATCTTAATGTCATTTCTTTTTCTATTCTGTCTTTTTCTCTTGGCATCCAGTTTTCTACTGGTTTTCTCCTGCTTGGTGCTCTCTGTCTTTTCTACTATTGATGACTATGAGGCGAGTTCTGAAGGTGCCCTCTATATTCTGGTAAGTAAAAGGTTGAAAAGCTGCCACCCGACCAGCTTTTCAATAGGGGCTTTGGGATGTCTCCTTTGCCAAAGGGAAGGGATGCTACAGAGAGAGACCAAACATGTACTTGAGGTTCAGGAAATCACAGAATAATTGAGTTGGAAGAGACCTTGTGGCCTATCCAGTCCAACCCCTTGCCAAGAAACAGGAAAATCCCATTCAAATCACTCCCAACAGATGGCCATCCAGCCTCTGTTTAAAAGCCTCCAAAGATGGAGCCTCCACCACACTCTGCGCAAGGGGGTTCCACTGCTGAACAGTTCTCACAGTCAGGAAGTTCTTCCTCATGTTCAGGTGGAATCTCCTTTCCTATAGTTTGAAGTCCTTTTTTTCCCGGGCAGCAGAAAACAAGCTTGCTCCCTCCTCCCTATGACTTTCCCCCACATATTTATACATGGTCATCATGCCTCCTCTCAGCCTTTTCTTCTACAGGCTGAACATGCCCAGCTCGTTAAGCCGTTCCTCGTAGGGTTTGTTCTCCAGACCCTTGATCATTTTAGTCTCCCTCCTCTGGACACATTCCAGCTTGTCAACATCTCCCTTTATATTGCAAATGTCAGTAATTGGTTCAGTAGAATTGTAGGTTGTAACTCTTCCTCCTATTAACATTGTCAATCAGGCTTTGTAACAATATTGACAAAGACAATTTAAACCAGTACACCTATCTGAAGGGCATTGCCCTCCCTTTAAACTGATGTTGTCTGTCCTTAGTGATAATACCGATATACCAGCAGGCCTACTCAGTCCACTTTTAACTATGACTTTTAAATCATATTCTGTGTTTATTGTGTTTTAACTTTTCTCTCATGTATTTTAATATATGTATGTTTTAATATATGCTTTTATGATTGCATTTGAATTATTAAATTATTTTAATATGTGATTTTAATCTATACTGTGCCTCACCTCAAGTCGAAATAAATTATTATTATTATTATTATTATTATTATTATTATTATTATTAGAAACACAACAAAATGAGTCCACAGCAGATAAGATCACTCTGCTGGCTGTGGTATTGATCACACGTCGGACAAGTGTCTAGGACTGTGTGATTTATTTTTATTATTATTTTATTATTATTATTATTATTATTATTATTATTATTATTATTATTGGATGCAAGGCCTAAATGTTTTATGTTATCTATGTTTGTTTTTATAATTTTACAGTTTTTATTATTTTAATCTATTGTCATACGGTGTTGATTTGGTGTGTGATGTTTTATACATGATATATCAAATCAACATATCATATCAATACAAGGCATTGAATTTTGCCATTGGTTATGTTGTGAACTGCTTTGAGTCCCCCCAGGGGTGGGAAAATGCCATAAATAAAGAATATTGCCAATTTTCCAAAACTCCAGTTGATCAGTAAATCTGCACAAAATTGCAATTTTAAATGGGGTGGGGGATTTGCAGAACATCTGAAATCCCCAAAATATTCATAGAGGAGTGGTTGTAATGAAAAATATAAGCAGTGTAGCAAGTAAAGGTTCTGCCATGTACAGAAAATCATGTTTATTGTAAATTTCAGGAGTATGTGTCAATATCAATGTTTGTATCCCGAATGTTCAGTGTAGTATGCTCTACAGTGAATTCTTTGAATCCTTATTCCATCAGCCCACTTTGGTTGGGACTGAATATTTACTTTTAAGCTTTTTTTTTGTATTTATATTTGAAGTATTGAATGTTTACTTTTAAGCTTTTTAATTGTATTTCTATTTGAATTACTTCTAAGCTTTTTATTGTATTTATATTCGAATTATTATGTCATGTTTATTATTGTATGTTTAAATTGATATGTTATGTTTATTATTATATGTGTAATGTGGCATTGTATGCCATGGATTGTAAGCCGCCCTGAGTCCCCCACTGGGATGAGAAGGGCGGGATATAAATGTATAATAATAATAATAATAATAATAATAATAATAATAATAATAATAATACTTTGACTCCCATATGTAAAGTATCTATGTAGGATACATTCCTGGATTTTCCATGAATATGCAAAATTGCATTCAAGCCTATTGAAACAAACAGCTACAATATTGTTTGTTTCAACCATATTGAAGATGCCATACAGACATGCTAAAAGTACTAAATGGCTAGAGAAGCCATAGTTTTTTTGGATGTGGATAAATGAAGCTGTGGGTCCTGTGGATATGGGGGTTGTACTGTATTCCAGACTGTAGCTTGTCTTGTCCATTAAAGCAGGGACAATTGTGCAATTGCTAGTTTTGGTATCAGGATAGAATTTGTCCAATCAAATATTGTAATATTTGTCGAAGGCTTTCATGGCCGGAATCACTGGGTTGTTGTAGGTTTTTCTGGGCTATATGGCTATGTTCTAGAGGCATTTTCTCCTGATGCAGGCGAAACGTCAGGAGAAAATGCCTCTAGAACATGGCCATATAGCCCGGAAAAACCTACAACAACCCATTGTAATATTTGCTTGTAGACCTAGGCTGTGCAGAATTATAACATAATTCTGCCCATAATCTGTCAAGGAAGTCTGAAGGTGGATCTACACTTCTATATAATGCCATTTGGGACTGCATTATATGGTCAGTGTAGACCCATATAATGCAATTCAATGCAGTTCAAACTGCATTATCTGGGTTTTACACTCACTATATAATGCAGTTCCAAACTGTATTACAGATCCAGTCTGAGTGTTATAACCTCACTATGCACTGAAATCTTTTCTAACCATTTTAATTCTTTTGACTGCATCCTGGAGAATCCTGGCATTTGTTATTTGCAGTGGTACTTTGAATTCTCAGGAGAGAGAAATCAGAACATCAAAATACAAATCCCAGCATTTCATAGAACAAGCCATGATAGTTGAAGTGCCACAAACAGATACAGCAAATGTAGCCTTAATTTTGGCAGCAAGCAAACCAAAGCCAAATCCCCCTCTTCCATATTTTGCATCTTGGCGCTTCTGTGCTCTGACACAAAGCTTGCTAGTTTTTCCGCTTTTAACAGCTTGGCTTTCCTTCCCACTGATTATGCGTCTCCTGGTGACAAGCTGAAAGATAGCTGGGAAAATTCCTGCTGATGCAGGCACTTTTGTGAGCCTCCCAGAATGCGTTGCGCTTCCGATTCTTCCTTTCCATAAGATTCAGAAACAGTGAAAGGAGAGAAACTGCCCAAGAAAGCCACAGTGCTTACAGATTCACCTCCATAGTGAAAGAAGGGTGAAAAGAAAGTATAGACAGTCTTCCACATTTCCTGGAGATGAGGAAACAGTACCTTTGGGAAAATGAAAAAAAAATCCAATGAATAAAGAAACTATTCTTTATGTGAGAGAACACTTTGCTAGGAATTTCAGGCCTTCCAGCTTTCACTGGAAGCTGAACATAGAATTGCATTGGAGGGCCTGGAGATTTCCAGAGAGGTGTTCCCTTTAGAACTCTCTAGATCTTTCATTGTGACCAGAAGAAGATGACCATCATTTCACACTGTAGAACATCAACCCAACTCTCTTCAAACTACAAGAGAGGAGATTCCACCTGAACATGAGGAAGAACTTCCTGACTGTGGGAGCTGTTCAGCAGTGGAACTCTCTGCCGCGGAGTGTGGTGGAGGCTCCTTCTTTGGAAGCTTTTAAACAGAGGCTGGATGACCATCTGTCAGGGGTGATTTGAATGCAATATTCCTGCTTCTTGGCAGAATGGGGTTGGACTGGATGGCCCATGAGGTCTCTTCCAACTCTTTGATTCTATGATTCTATGATTCTATAGAGACCACAATAATCAAATCCAAGAATAATCTGATTGTCAAATGTCAAAAAGAGCTTCCACTATACTCTGGAGCAGAGAGTTCCACTGCTGAACAGCTCTCCATACGGTTAGGAAGTTCTTCCTCATGTTCATCTTCTTTCCTGATAGTGAAGATGTACCCTGACTTTTGCTTTTCTAATTTGTTTTAATGGAGCTGTCCAGAGTACTGAACCTCTTTGGGATAGGGTGCAGCACTTTGGCTACACTAAAATTCAGAGGAGTCATAACTTCAATGAAATAAGAGCCACCTGCCACAAGAAATAACTCTATCCGTTGGACACTCTGCCTCTCTATCTAATTCTTTAAAACTGACATTAATACATGAAGATTATGTTTGTTCCTGTTGGTTCAGACATACCCATTCCTTCTCAGAAGGACTGAAATAGGAGGTTTTTTTTCTTTCATTCACAATGACTTTGTAATGTTGTCAGCTCATCTGGATACATTCTAGTCCAAGAATAGGAAATTACATGGAGGTCTCTATTCTCCTGTCTGGTTACCTAAGCTTCCCAATTCAGGAACAATGATGGTGTCTAGTAAGCCAATTGATATCACCACTTCCCTTAAGTATTGGAATTTCTGGAAATGTATGCAGGAAGAATGAATAATATTTTGTGCTATTTATTTAAGTCAACAGATTGGTATTTACAAGGTTGCAAAAAAACCCTAACAAAATAATGTTCAGGATCAAAATAATGGATCCACAACTGATCCTGCCAGCTTGTCCCACTTGTACTGATTGTCATGTTGGATTTATTCTGCTCTCTCCATTGCAGGAAATAGTCACCATTGTGGTCTTCGGTGTGGAGTATTTTGTCAGGATCTGGGCTGCTGGTTGCTGCTGCCGATATCGGGGCTGGAGGGGAAGGTTGAAATTTGCCCGCAAACCCTTTTGTGTCATCGGTAAGAACTGCCATGCTGCTAAACTAAGTTGTCAGTTGTCAGTTGCAATGGATCTGGTGCCTGAGTCAACCTTCAAGAGGACATTTAACAGTCACTTACAGACCTACCACCAAGATTCTCCTCTTGGAAGACAATCATACTCAGCCATGACTGATTTCCTATGACTGCCTACATTTCTGGCTATTTCCTCCCAAACAATTCCCTTTAGCAGTGAGCTGACCAGTCAAGAGTGTAAAGTGCTTGGCCAGGTTAGGGCTTCAAAAGTGGAGAAATCAGAGTTATGATTGTGGCTCAAGCAAGTTTCCAATCTTTGGGTTGTTGTAGTTTTTTCAGCCTGTATGGCCATGTTCTAGAAGCATTCTCTCCTGACATTTTGCCTGCATCTATGGCAAGCCTCCTCAGAGGTTATGAGGTTTGAGGATGCTTTACTCTTGAGCATGTGAAAAGTGCCTTTGCATATTAGGGCATAAGAAAAACCAAACTCTTTTGGTTTTTGGACTTCAGCAAGTAGGCTAATGTTCATTATCAGGTTGCAGCCTTCCAGCAAGTCTACCCAATCAATTTTAAACCACAATTTTTACCTTTATATTCTTTTATTGTTCTATTTTAATCATTGCACTATGCATTTTAATATATACTAGCTGTCCCCAGCCACGCATTGCTGTGGCCCAGTCTGGTGATCTGGAAAATAAAGTAATGAGAAAGTTTGGTTTCTAATATATGTAATTTCTTTATGCTTGTGGGTAAACATTATTTCTTGTTGTTTCTTTGTCAGTGTTGATTTGGAGGGTATCTAGTTTGCCTACTCTGGAATATGCAGCATATCATAGTCCTTCTTTAGGGGTCCCTTTCAAATCTATGATACTATATCTCTCTCTGTGTGTGTGAATTATAACTAACTATCTATATTTATGACTGGATGGCTCTATGTCAGGAGGGTTCTGATTACATTTTCTTGCCCTGGTGAAGAGAGGTGGACTGGATGGCCTTAAGTATTTTCTGTTGGTCATGGGGGTTCTGTGTGGGAAGTTTGCCCCAATTCTGTCGTTTGTGGGATTCAGAATGTTCTCTGATTTTAGGTGAACTATACATCCCAGCAACTACAACTCCCAAATGACAAAAGCAAAAAAATTTGAGTGAAGGACATACATGGGTTGTTAGGTGTATGCTGTCCAAATTTGGTGTCAATTGACCCATTGGTTTTTGAGTTCTGTTAATCCCACAAATGAACATTATGTTTTTATTTATATAGATTTTATAGTAATGTGTTTTAATATATGCATTTTATTGTATTTATTTTATGGTGATGCATTTTAATGGAGTTGTGCTCCACCTTGAGTCATGGCGAGAGGCAGGTAACAAAAATTATTATTATTATTATTATTATTATTATTATTATTATTATTACTATTGGAGCTGCAGTAGCACAATGGGTTAAACCCTTGTGCTGGCTGGACTGCTGACCTGAAGTTTAGGTTGCTGACTTGAAAGTTGCTGGCTTGATTCTGCAAGATGGGGTAAGCACCCATCTGTCAGCTCTAGCTTACAGGGACATGAGAGAAGCCTCCCAGCAGGATGGTAACACATCTGGGCATCCCTGGGTAACGTCTCTGTAGATGGCCAATTCTCTCACACCAGAAGCAACTTGCAGTATGTTCTCAAGTTGCTCCTGACATGATAACAAAATTATTATTGCTAAAGGTGGGCTGTGAAGTACATCGCCACATGTATGTATGAGCAAAAAGGTGGATTCCAGGGCTGATAAGTAATTATTTATTTGCTTTATATTCTGTTTTTTTTTTCCTGAGTGGGACTTGAACAGGCTAACAATACAGAACAGGTCTGCATATTGTGCAAAGGAGTCATTCCAAGACTTAGGCATTGCTCACTCATCCAGTGTGATTCTATGGTATTCAAAGCTCTTTGCAAATAACTGCAACCATATTCAGTGAGCTCATGTAATAAGTAAACTTACTGTGTATTGAAACAGAGCATCTAAAAGAATACTAAATACAAAAGTTAAAAAGCATCCCATGATACATTCACTTAAAACTCTGGTTTTAAAACATTAAAAATTAATGCAAATTAAAACACTTAAAATGCACATTACTTACTAAAAACAGTACACTCAGCTATGCATCACTCCACCATGGTAAGCAAAGTCTGAAGATGTAAAAGAAATGGTGGATTATATTAATATTTATTTTGTAATTATTTCTCTTGTGGTCTTGAAAAACCTGAACACAATCTCCTTTGGTGATAGTAGGTTAGTATTTTTTTTATCTGCATTCAAGGATGTGAAGAGAACCATTTTATAGATCCTCAGGCTCTTCCTGGAACTTATTTTGGTTCTTTGAATGTTTAGCATTTTATATAAAGGTCTAACTTTATTATGCCATTGTAGATAATGGAACAAAATGTGAGAGAAATAAGGTTGAACACTGTAAAAGCCATCCACTACATGGCTACCAGATCAAAAGACAACCTGGCAAAATGGCACTACCTAAAAGAATCCCACACCTTGTGTGATTGTGGAGCAGAACAGACAACTCCACATCTGTATGCTTGTCCACTATGCCCTGCTTTGTGTATGGAGGAAGAATTGTTGGAAGCTACAGACAATGCCGTTACTGTTGCCCATTTTTGGTCAAAAGATATTCACCTGCGCTCCTTCTATTTTTATCAGTTGTATACTAATTTATGCAATGCTTTTGATATGAAATAAATAAATATAATGGAACTTGAGCATCCACAGATTTTGGTATCCATGGGGGCTGGTGAATACTGAGGGCCTACTATGTCTGCATTAAATCAAAACAGTTCTCTTGTCTCTTCTGCCCAGTAGCTGAGAACTTCATCCCAAAACTTGGTCCTCAGTGTATCCCAGGTTGAGCTGATTCACAAACATGAGAATAACAAGCATTTTGCAGTGGTCCTCAAAGGAAAGCTAAGGATGTCAGAACGTTGAATCATTCTTCCCTTGGTGACCCTGCTTCTTTTCCATCCCGACAGACATCATGGTGTTAATCGCCTCCATTGCCGTGTTGGCTGCTGGGTCCCAGGGGAATGTCTTTGCTACTTCTGCACTCAGGAGTTTGCGGTTTCTGCAGATCTTGCGGATGATACGGATGGACCGGAGGGGAGGCACTTGGAAGCTGTTGGGATCAGTAGTGTATGCCCATAGCAAGGTGAGCATCTGGGATTAAGCTCATATCATCCCACTCAAGTCGGTTTTTGGGAGACCAAAGACTTGACTCCACTACCCACAAAATCTGGAGTCACTGGTGGTAGAGTTATGATGCACAACATCTTTGGGTGGGTATTCTGTTTTGGCTTTAATCGAATTTAGCTCCAAATTACACTGGACTAAATACTCCAGAGTTTGTTTGAAGGAAATGAGTGTTGGCAGTAGAGATGGGGATGGCTTGTCCCCATGTTGCTGTTACTACTACTACTACTACTACTACTAATAATAATAATAACAACACTTTATTTATATACTATCCTATCTCCCCAAAGTACACTACCTGCATCTGGCTATCTTGTCTGCTAATGTCAGAATAAGGTGCTCAAGTGACCATCAAGAAGGAGATGAGATTAGCTGCCTCCTTCATGTTGGTCATGCAGGTGTCTCATTCTAGCACCAGCAAATCGGACACCAAAAATGTACCACGATGGCTGGCTAAGAATGGTACGGTGACCTGGAGAACAAGGTGACAGCCCAGAAGGGCTAATGCAGTCTGGACTGCTCTGAGCCAGAATTACACTTGACTAAATTGCCTAAGGGTGCATCTACGCCAGTGGTTCCCAACTGGTTTTTGATCAAGGACTACTTGACAAGGGACCACTTTGACCAGGGCCACTCTCCAACATTAGTACCAAAAGAGTTACAAAACAGTTGAATCAGTTCAACTTTAGATTTGCTTTGATTATTTGGGATGTTGATTCAGAAAATTACATTGTATAGATCACATCAGTTCTAGTTTGTGATACAGAACACATGCTATACAGTCATCGACACAGAAAACCATATTTAATAATCTAGAGCTGATGTGATCTACCTAATGCAATTTTCTGAACCAGCACCCCAAATAACCACATGAACAGGCCTAAAAATGGAGACACCAAGAAAAACATTTTTTTGGTTGAGCTGTTTTATTATCCATGGATTTTGTTAATGCTCGTGTAAAATAAAAGAGAAAGGCATGTGGCTGAGGTTAAAAAAGTACAAAAAGCAGAGTGTGAGACCCAAGAAACTGTTCCTAATGGCTTTGGCACATGGCCATGTGGAAGGGCGTGGTCCATGGAGCGTTCCAACGGTGTAGTAATGAAGAGGCCGTAGACCATATTTTAGTTCTTGTGGTTCTTGGGAATCTCTGATCTACACTGTTGAAATAATGCAGTTTGACACCTTGTTTACTACCATGTTTCAATGCTCAGGAATCATGGGGAAGGTCATTTTACAGGTCTGAAGCCTTCTCTGCTAGAGCAGTGGTTCTCAATCTGGGGTTCCCAGATGTTTTTGGCCTACAACTCCCAGAAATCCCAGCCAGTTTACCAGCTGTTAGGATTTCTGGGAGTTGAAGGCCAAAAACATCTGGGGACCCCAGGTTGAGAACCACTGTGCTAGAGAGTGCTGATGTTTCACTCTACACTGCAACTTCCATGGTTCCATAGTGTTGATCCATGGAAGTTAAAGTGGTGTCAAACTGCATTAATTCTATAGTGTAGATGCACCTTAAGATAACCAGGGACTGCCTTGGCTGCAATCATTGGGAAGTGTGAACTTCAGGGTGTTAAGATGGAGAAAAGACTGCAGAAAGGAGTGCATCTCACTGTGTCAAATGTTGCAGCTGGGAATTCTCTTGTTCACAGTTCCAGTCATCCATAGCCCTCTTTTGCCATGGCATCCTGTTCTGTTCTTTCTTTTAATCATAACAGTGAGTCAGCAATCTGTGACCTCTGAACATGCTCAATCCCCACTGGACTGGAGTTTTTGTTTATTTGCTTGTTTTGATCACTTAAACATTCATAAGGGTTGCCAGTTCACCTTAACTTGCGATGGGAAGAATTGGCAGAGGAGAGGACATCTGAAGAACCTTCCTAGGAGATGCCTATAAAATACTGCCAGATGGAAGGTTTATTGGAAATAGATATTTCCTCTTGGCTTTCCCATCATCCCCAACAAGCATGACAATTAAAAGGAGCAATTATTTAACATGCCTGGAGGATGACATGTTAGACAAAGTTGCCTTTTTTTTGCTTTCCAAATAGTTATGGAATTGTGGAATGGAATTGTCTTTGAGAGTAAGCCTGGAGAGTAAATATTCGGGTCTAGGAAAAACAAATCAGTAGATCTCACCCTGTGTGAGATCTTTCTCTGATAAATATACGGAGTAACTAGCAGGTGCAGGTGTAGTCTGAAGCAAAAATGCTGCAGTATTTTCTTAACAGGATTACTCTTATCCAGGATTTCAGCAAGAAGAGAATGTCACTGGTAAACTTCAGGTCTCAGTCACATGATGTAGTGCCCATATATTATTAAAGAGTTAGTAGTACCAAATTTGACCTCATATTGCTGAGCTCAGAGTTTTCATATTTTCCATTTCGAGCTCCTTTGAAAGAAAGTTGGATTATTTCAGAAGAAAGAACGGAAGTGAATGAACCAGACATGATATTGAGCGGTGATGGGAAAAAGAAGCACAACTGAATTTCTTGGACTATAGTTTCCAGAATCCCCACAGACAGCAATCTTCTCCCAAAGTTTCTATCCCCAGAAATCAATTTCTATGTTGTTGAACTTTCTCAACTCTTTGCTTCTTGACCATCTGTAACTGCTTCCACAGATATTCTCCTGGTACTTTATGGAAAATCCATTGCATTGGGGAGGGTGATGGTGAAAGATGCTACTCTGTTTTTCTGTCTTTAACTGTGCTTTTGTAAACTATCCTGAGATCTTTGATATACAATGGGATATAAACATTTTAAGAAGTATTTTGCTCACTGAATAAACTGTGTTGCAGGAGCTGATCACTGCCTGGTACATTGGTTTCCTTTGCCTCATCTTAGCCTCTTTCCTGGTCTACTTGGCTGAGAAGGGTGAAAACGAGCACTTTGACACCTATGCAGATGCCCTGTGGTGGGGCCTGGTGAGTAGACAAGCCTCCTTTTCCATCATAGTGAAATAGTCTTGGTGAGCCCTGATTCTTAATCCTTTCTTATCACCAATGGGTTTGATTTCCTCCTTGTTCTCATTCTCCTGTTTCTTGTAATCATGTCTAGGTCTTTCTTGCTCTTCACTGGGCTATACTTGATACCTTTTTCACATCCTGAACCAGTGGAAGCTGGTGACTTCTATGCTAGTGGAGTAGTGAATTGTGTGTGTTAGTGTAAATTTTATAGAAGTCCTTTGGAGTGTGGAGTGTATTTTGTCAATGCATTCGGGCACGTGGGGTAGCTCTTCCAAAGTTTGGGTAAAACCCTGGGGTAATTTACTCTCCAACTGTCAGAAGCCATCAGCTGACTTGTCTTCTTTCCTCCTCCAGAATTGATTCTTTATATAGCAGTGGATAACTCCAAACTTTATTGAGATTGTGGTCCTCGTGGCAAGCTTTAATCCTTCATCTTTGCCATATATTGAGCCTGAAATAAATTCCTCCTCCCATCCTAAGTCTCAGGATAAGAACATGTATCTACTCACTAACCATGGGCACTCAGATGTTTTTTGACTATGGGTGCATCTACACTGTAGAAGTTATGCAGATTGATCCTAATATAGCTGCCATACCTCATTGTTATAGAATTATGGAATTTGGAGAGGCATCAGCACTCATTTGCAGGGAAGGCTAAAGACCTTGTAAAACTACAACTCTCTTGATCTAATAGCATTGAGCTATGACAGTAAAAGTTTTATCAGACTGCATTATTGGTACATTGGCAATGTTTACTGGGGCTTCTGGGAAAAGAAGTCTGGTAGAATTTATTTATTTATTTATATCCCATTTTCCTCCAAAATCTGGGACTCAACACAGCTTACAAGATAACAAGAAATGCAACTAGAAACACATTCTATGATGAAAATAGTATCATAACTATATAATTATACCCCAAAATTCTATAGTATTAAATCCAATTAAAACACTGATTTAGTAGGAGACAATAATAGTATATCACACTATCAGATATCCATACTTTGTAGGATCAATCAGCCCATATGATGCGCCTGGAATAAAAACAACCCTCTTTGTCAAAGTCAATCCAGTTGATTTAGAAAGAGAGTTCTAGCTCTTGGCAAAAGCCACAAATAATACCTTTTTTGCCATGTTCCTAGTAAAGTGCCTGCAAGGATGGTGCAATCAGGAGAAGTTCCTCTCCTGAAGATCTTCCATCATGAATAGACTCACATGGGAAGACATGGTTCTTTATCTAGTGTTGGTCTGGGCTGTATATGGCTTTCTATGTTGATATGTTGTTTGGATATAGCCTGGCAACCAGTGAAACTTATGTAGCAAGGGATTTATGTGCCCCATGTACCCATGTAAACATTTTGGGATCCAAGATTGGGAAACTCTAATAATAATAATAAGAATAATAATAATAAGAAGAAGAAGAAGAAGAAGAAGAAGAAGAAGAAGACGATCATGCAGACAGACTGCAAGCAGAGGCATAACACCGTTGCTCAGATGATTCATTGGAACTTGTGCCACAAATATGATCTGCCTGCGACAAAGAACTGTTGGGATCACAAGCCATTTTTTTTTTACAGAGAATGAACATGCCAAGCTACTCTGGGACTTCCAAATTCAGACAGACAGAGTTTTGGAGCACAATGCTCCTGACCTCACAATCGTGTTAAAAAACAAATTGTTGATGTCACAATCCCAGGTGACAGCAGGATTGCAGAGAAACAACTGGAAAAGCTGACACGATATGAGGATTTAAAGATCGAACTGCAAAGACTCTGGTACAAGCCAGTCAAGGTGGTCCCAGTGGTGATCGACACACTGGGTGCAGTGCCTAAAGAGTAAAGACCTTGGCCTGTACTTAAACACAATCAGTGTAGACAAAATTACCATCTGCCAGCTACATAATGCCACCTTTCTGGGATCTGCACGCATTATTTGCCGATACATCACAGTCCTAGACACTTGGGAAGTGTCCGACATGTGATCCACTACAATAGCCAGCAGAGTGTCTGCTGTGGACACATCTTGTCGCGTTTATAATAATAATAATAATAATAATAATAATAATAATAATAATAATAATATACTTGTGATTTTGTGATATGAAATCCAGCATATAGATCTTGTTTGCTATGTCATATAGTGTTTTTGCGTCAGTAAAATAATAGTAATAATTTTATTTCTTACCCGTCTCTCCTCATGACTCGAGGCGGATTACAACATTGATAAAAACACAGAATCATTATATGAAATACACATATTAAAATGTATTTCTACAAAATACATGTGTTAAAATACACAGAACAATGATTAAAATATAGCAGACACAAGACATGAGTTTAAAATTTGTGATTAAAATTGGCTTGGTAGGCCTGCTGGAAGAGATAAGTCTTCAGATGTGTTTTAAATTCTGACAGTGCATTTAGCTGTAGGATTTTTTCCACAGTCTTGGGGCACTTGATGAAAAGGTCCTCTGGGTGATGGTCACCAGTCAGGTTCTGGCTGGTTGGAGCAGACACGCCATAGAGGACCTCAGTGTTTGGGGCAGATTGTACAGGAGAACGCTATCCTGTAGGTCAAAACCAACACTTTGTACTTTACCTGGAAACTATTTGGCAGCCAGGGAAGTGACTTTACGATAGGTGTACTATGATCACTCCTAGATGTTCCCCTAACCAATCTGGCTGCTGTGTTTTGAACCAACTGGAGTTTATGAACTTGGTACAAAGATAGCCCAATGCAAAATGCATTGCAGAAGTCCAGCCTTGAGGTTGCCAGCACATGCACTACCATCTTAAGGTCCTCCAAATCTAGGAAGGAATGCGGCTGGTGACTCAGCCAAAGCTTATAGTAAGCACTCCTGATTGTTGTGTCTACCTGGACTGTCAGTTGGAGGGACAGATCCATGAGCACTCCTGAGCTGCAAACAGTCTTTCAGGGGGAGTGTAACTCCATCCAGAACTTGTTGACACACCTCCATCCCCAGTTTAGGACTCCTACTGGATCTGGTTTCAGTTTCAATTTGTTTTTTCCTCATCCAGCCCATTACCTCCTCCAGGTGTTCATTCAGAGGAGATACGCTATCCTTAACTGAGGCTGTTTTTGAAAGCATTGTTGTCCCCTTATCACAGTCTGGTGTGAAAGTTGCTGTCTATACACATGATGTGTTCAAAATAGTGGCACTCAGGTTTTCCTGGATGCCACCAGCTTTGGTTTCTTCTGAGCAGGTATTTGGCAAAGGCCCCATGTTCAGTTTCAAATTAAAGTCAATACACCTTGATGATAGTATGGGATCAGAGACAATTTGGGATCAATGTCTCTTGGATTCCAGCTCTTGGAGGATTTAGAACAGGAAAGCAGAGTATTACTGGAACTGGATAATCAAATTTCGTGACCCCACTCAGTTTTACCTCCTGCCAGAGATACCCCTGTGGAAATGGCACCAAAAATGCAAGATGTGGCCTTTGGTTTTTTATTCTTCAGTTGCTGGCTTCAACATGTGTTAGTGGTTTAATTATTTATAATTCCACTTCTTAATGCATTGCTTAATGCACAGTGAGTGCATTTTGTAAAATTAATGAGGTCTGGGTAACAGAAGTACATGGCACCAGCAAATCTTTGTTCACAACCAAGGAAGGCTTGTGTTTTTGTTTAGCTCTTGTCTATCTCTATGTGGATTATTGGATTAGGAGAATAACAAAAGTGGCAATTAATGAGATTCCCTGGCCAATGAACTGCATCATTTTTGGTTCTTCTGCCTTCGCTTTTCCCAATCCTTTCGGCAAGGTTTTTTAGCATTTGTGTGGAATGATGTGGAGAAGCGGATCAAATGGTTAATTATGAATCAATACAAAGAGATGTACTTACAATATGAATTTTGGAATGACATTTCAAATTTGAATGATTTTTCTTTAAAAAATTACTTTTGTGTTTTTCCTCCTGTACTAAGCTTGCTATTATCTGGAAGAGCTGTTTCTGATGATACCTATTTTCCCTCAGATTACACTGACCACTATTGGCTATGGGGACAAGTATCCACAGACATGGAACGGACGCCTCCTTGCAGCCACTTTTACCCTGATCGGGGTGTCCTTTTTTGCCCTCCCTGCTGTAAGTAGGAATGTGACAAGCTCAATGTTTATAGGGGAGGAGCGGGAATCAAGGCTATGTCAAGCTCAGGAGTGAAAATAGTAATGTATTCTATTAATAGTAATGTAAGCCCTTTGTCTCACCCTGGTCATTCCACAGATATATAAACCCCTTTTTTCCCAGTTCCAGCAGACCTCACCTCTGAGGATGCTTGCCATAGATGCAGGCGAAACGTCAGGAGATATGCCTCTAGAACATGGCCATATAGCCCGAAAAAACCCACAAGAACTGAGTGATTCCAACCATGAAAGCCTTCGACAATACAATGTATTCATTTATTAAAAAATCATGGCCATAATTCATTAAAGTGGGTATGAATGCATAGCCTAGAGACCCAAAGCATTCACTAGATTGGGAATAGGTAGGACCTTGAATGTTCACTTATCAGGTAGTAGCCACTACCTGATAAGTGAGAATGACAGGGGTCTATTCCCCTGTGGATTGAGAAGCAACTGACTGACATTTCTACCTAGTCATTGGGATAATCCTTAGTGCAAGACAGAATTTCAACAGGGATCTGGTGTCTATTTATTTGAACAGAAATCACTCACAGGAGGGAGTGAAAATGTTGTTCAGATGTTTCCTAGGCCCCATCTACACTGCCATATAATGCAATCTGATACTACATTAAATGGCAGTGTAGATGGAGCCCTAGTCAACAGGGAAGCAGATCCCATGTTACTTAGCTAAACAGCCACCACAGGCCCCTTCTACACTGTCAGAAAATCCACATTATCAAAGGAGAAATTCCACATTATTTGGGAATTACATCTACATTGCCATATAAAATTGTGATTATCTGCTTTGAACTGCATTATATGGCAGTGTAGACTCACAAAATCCAGTTCAAAGCAGATAATATGGATTATCTGCTTTGATAATCTGGATTATATGGCAGTGTAAAAGGGGCTTTAGTGGCATAAAACATTTCACAGTCAGCCGCCCTGAGTCACCTTCTGGCTGATATGGGCGGGATATGGGCAATAGTGTAAATAAATAATAAATAAAATAAATAAACAATTGCATCCTGTCCTGTAAGAGAGGATGAGATTGTTGACTGTGAGATGTTCTATGCAACTAAGGCCTCTTCTACACTGCCATATAACCCAGATTATCAAAGCAGAGAATCCACATTATCTGCTTTGAACTGGATTATCTTAGTCTACACTGCCATATAATCTATTCAAAGCAGATAATTGTGATTTTATATGACAATTATTTATTTATTTATTTTATTTACTTCATTTGTTGACCGCCGCTCTCAGCCCTGGGGCGACTCGCGGCGGTGTACAACATGTAAAAAACAGTCTACAAAACATACAATATATCAACAATCAAATTACACATTAATCTAATCACACTAATAAATCCGCGCCATCACAACAAGGAATCATAGCCAATCTCATAATCCATAGTCCGTTCCAAATGTCATTACCAGATTCGTGTGGCTCAATTAAATGCCTTCTCGAATAGCCAGGTCTTTAGGCTCTTACGAAAAGCCATCAGGGAGGGCGCCTGTCTGATGTTAACAGGGAGGGCGTTCCACAGCCGGGGGGCCACCACTGAGAAGGCCCTCTCTCTCGTCCCCGCCAGACGTGCCTGTGAGGCAGGCGGGATCGAGAGAAGGGCCTCCCCAGATGATCTCAAGGCCCTCGTGGGCTCATAGGCCGAGATGCGGTCCGAAAGGTATTTTGGGCCGGAACCGTTTAGGGCTTTGTAGGATAACACCAGCACCTTGAAATTGGGCCCGGTAGCAAATCGGCAGCCAGTGGAGCTGGGACAACAAGGGCGTTGTGTGCTCCCTGCGTCCCGCTCCCGTTAGTAACATGGCTGCCGCGCGCTGGACTAGCTGAAGCTTCCGGGCCGTCTTCAAGGGCAGCCCCACGTAGAGAGCGTTGCAGTAGTCAAGGCGGGATGTGACCAAAGCGTGTACCACCGTGGCCAAGTCAGACTTCCCAAGATACGGGCGCAGCTGGCGCACGAGCCGAAGCTGTGCAAATGCTCCCCTGGTCACCGCTGAAACCTGGGGATCCAGGCTCAACGATGAATCCAGGGTCACACCCAAGCTGCGAACCTGCGCCTTCAAAGGGAGTGCGACCCCGTCCAGCACAGGCTGTAACCCTATACCCTGTTCGGCCTTGCGACTGACCAGGAGTACCTCTGTCTTGTCTGGATTTAATTTCAGTTTGTTCGCCCTCATCCAGACCATTACAGCAGCCAGGCACCGGTTCAGGACCTCGACAGCCCCCTTAGTAGCAGGTGGAAAGGAGTGACAGAGTTGGACATCATCTGCGTACAGATGACACCGCACCCCGAAACTCCGGATGATCTCACCCAGCGGCTTCATGTAGATATTAAACAGCATGGGGGACAGTATAGAACCCTGTGGAACCCCACAGGTCAAAGGCTGTGGTGTTGAACAGAGTCCCCCAATAACACCTTCTGGGTACGACCCTCCAGAAATGACTGGAGCCACTGCAGAGCAGTGCCCCCAAGACCCATTTCCGCAAGGCGCCCCAGAAGGATACCGTGGTCGACGGTATCGAAGGCCGCTGAGAGGTCCAGGAGCACCAACAGGGACACACTCCCCCTGTCTAGCTCCCGGCGCAGATCATCCACTAAGGCGACCAAGACCGTCTCGGTACCATGTCCCGGTCTGAAACCAGACTGTGCCGGATCCAGAATATCCGTGTCTCTCAAGAATACCTGGAGTTGTGAGGCCACCACGCTTTCCATGACTTTGCCCAAAAAGGGGAGATTGGAAACAGGCCGAAAGTTGTCAAATTTAGTGGGGTCCAATGATGGTTTCTTCAACAGCGGTTTTATAATTGCTTGTTTTAAGCACGCTGGAATCTTGCCTTCCCGAAGGGAGGCATTAACCACCACCGTTACCCACTCAGCCAATCCCCCTCTGGCCTCTTTCAGAAGCCAGGATGGGCAGGGGTCTAGGATGGACGTGGTAGGCCTCATTCCTCCAAGTATCTTGTCCACATCCTCGGGTTTCACAAACTGAAAAGAATCCAACAAAATAGGACAAGCAGGTGCTCGTGTCACATCCCCAGAGACTGCATTTAACATGGTGTCCAGCTCAGAACGGATCAAAGCGACTTTGTCTGCAAAGAACCGAGCAAATGCTTCACAGCGCGTGACCGAATTGTCAGGGCTCCCGCCTGAAGTGGCGGGAGTTAAAAGACCTCTGACAATCCGAAACAACTCCGCCGGACGGTTCTTTGCAGACGCAATAGAAGCTGCAAAGAAGTTTTCTTTGCGGCTTTTATTGCCGCGGCGTATGCCCTTAAAAAGGACACAAACCGTGTTCGATTTGACTCGCTTGGGTCTGAACGCCACACGCTCTCCAGTTCCCTCTTCCTTCGCTTCATCACTGCCAGCTCCTCAGTAAACCAAGGGGCTGGTTTAGCTCGGCTACTTGAGAGGGGACGTTCCGGAGCGATCGTGTCAATTGCCCTGGTCATCTCCCCATTCCAGAGAGCGACCAAGGCCTCGACAGGGTCACCTACCGCGGAGGCGGGAAAATCCCCAAGAGCCGTCAGGAATCCGTTCGGATCCATAAGCCTCCTGGGGCGGACCATCTTAATGGGTCCTCCACCCTTGCAGAGGTTAGGGGGTGCAGTGAGCCTAAATCTGATCAGGAAGTGGTCAGTCCATGGCAACGGAGAGATAGACAACTCCTCCACACCGCCACCCTGCTCCCATCCCTGACAGAAAACCAAGTCCAATGTGTGTCCAGCACAATGGGTGGGGCCAGATATTTGTTGGGACAGCCCCATGGTTGCCATGGCAGACATGAAGTCCTGAGCCGCTCCTGTGAGGGTCGCCTCGGCATGGATATTGAAGTCTCCCAGCACAAGAAGCTGTTGAGACTCCAACGCCAGGCTCGAGACCACCCCCGCTAGCTCAGGTAGGGAGACTGTAGTGCAGCGAGGTGGACGGTACACTAGCAGAATCCCTATTCTGTCCCGGTCACCCACCCTTAGGTGGACACATTCAAAATTTGTGGTCTGCGGGATGGGGCTCCTGGTCAGATGGATGGAATCTCTATAGACCACTGCAACCCCGCCTCCCCGTCCTCCGGATCTCGGTTGGTGCTGTACGGAGAACCTGGAGGACAAAGCTGGGTCAGATTCACCCCCCCAGCTTCATCCAACCAGGTCTCCGTAATGCACGCCAGATCTGCCCGCTCGTCCAGGATTAAATCCTGGATAAAGGTCGTTTTTCCGTTGACAGATCTGGCGTTCAGCAGCACCACCTTCAATCCAGAGGGCCCGCTCACCTGGTTACACCAATTTACCTTAGGAGACCGATTTGGGATTACTAATTTTGATAAGCGGTCCGAATTAAGCCGAATTCGAGGTCTCCTTTTTCCGCATCTCCTCCTTCCCACCACGACCTCTATGGGGGCCCCTCGGCTAGTGGAACACCTCCCCCCCTCCATGCCGCGAGTCCCAAACCAGGGTCTTGATATCTGTTTCATTAGATGTTTGGTTTGTTGGTCCCTGCCAACTCCCTTGCTTCCCCTCCTCCCCCCTCCCCGCCTCATTATTGTTCACAGGCTCCAGCCCACTTCCTCCTCCGTCCCTTCCACTGGTCACTAAAAGCAGGAACAACACAAATAGGGGGATGGGGGACCACATGGATAATAACAGTCCCGATGATGTTAAGTGGTTCAGCCACGACAATTAACAGTTAGAGATTATTAAAGTGCAGAGTCTTAAAGTGCAACACAGTGGTAGTATATCTGCGTGCCGTTGGGCACATTCATAAAGTGCAAGAATCATAAAGTGCAACAATGCCCAAATCTGGCTCCCAACGTTAACTGAAGTGCGGCATAGAGGGTAGAAGGTACGAGCGCTAGTTGGGGCCTTAGTTGGGGCCTTAGTTGTCTTAGTCTGCTTTGTACTGGATTATATGGCAGTGTAGACTAAGATAATTCAGTTTAAATAAGATGTGGATTTTGATAATGTGGATTATCCTGCAGTGTAGAAGGGGCCTGTGGTGGCTGCTTAGCTAAGTAGGTGATCCTGAATTTATGGGGCTGCTTACACAAACCACAAAACTCTGTACATCTCTCTGTTCTTTCAGGAACATATTTTATATGACCATTTTAACAGCATCCCTAAGGTTTTAAGGATATTTTTCACAGTCCCTTCCTCTGCTGTATCCAGAGGAATCACAGCTATCTGATGCCATTAACTGCCATGGATCAGTTCAAAAGAATAATAGGATTTGTGATTTGTTGTGGCAACAAAAGCTCTCTGAAAGAGAAGGCTAAATATCTCACAAAACTAAAAATCCAATAATAATAATAATAATAATAATAATAATAATAATAATAATAATAATAATAATATAAACATTATTTAAAAAATTCACAGTTAAAAACCATTCAAACATATTCAAAGTTAAAAACCATAGCATTCTATAGCAGAATTTATAGCATTGAGCCATGATAGTTAAAGTGGTGTCAGATGGTTATAATTCTGCAGTATGGCTGCATCCCAAGTGTCCAGAGAAATAGACCTGGGAGTTTAGCACCACCATTCTTGACAAATTTTGCCAAGAAAACCTAGGTAAGGTTTGCTGCAGGTCACACAAGAATAACCAATACAGATATTCCTTGTTTGCAAAGAAACACCCTTCCTTATTTTCACCTGCATTTGTAAGAAAAGAAAAGAAAACTTTTCCTTGAGCCATGAGAAGAAGTAGATAGCAAATACCTTGTTTTTGCTAGAGCAAGATTCAGTTGATAGTATTGACTAGAAGCAATTCCTTTTTTCTTTTTGCAGGGCATCCTAGGTTCTGGATTTGCTCTGAAGGTTCAAGAACAACATCGTCAAAAGCATTTTGAGAAGAGGAGGAATCCTGCAGCCGGCCTGATTCAGGTGAGAAATAATAATAATAATAATAATAATAATAATAATAATAATAATAATAATAATAATAAATTTCATAACTGTGCGATTTTCTGGCATTGTATATTTCTGCTGCTTCTGTGATGGTTAATTTGTATTTTGATTCTGTAGCCCACTTGTCGATGGATGTCCAGAATCAGCAGCATCCACCGCGGTCCTGGGCGTCGACTGAGCCAGTATAGACTTTGTTTTGGTTTGCTTCTCCATAGTGCTAATGGGTTAGGTGCTCTTGGTTCTACTCTTCAGCTGAGACCTCTCTGGCTTGGTTGGACCTGCTGGTAGTTACACTACCGCCAGCACAGCTCTCAGCATCCTTGGAGCAGTTAAGCCCCCCAACACGACAAGGTGACACCCATCGGGGGTGCAAAGGCTCTGGCATAAACCAGTACAGGTGGTCCCAGTGGTCATTGGCACACTGGGTGCCATGCTAAAAGATCTCAGCCGGCATTTGGAAACAATAAACACCGACAAAATCACGGTCTGTCAACTGCAAAAGGCCACCTTACTTGGATCTGCGTGCATCATTCTAAAATACATCACACAGTCCTAGACGCTTGGGAAGTGTTCGACTTGTGATTTTGTGATACGAAATCCATCATATAGATCTCGTTTGCTGTGACATACTGTGCTTTTGTGTAAATAATAATAATAATAATAATAATAATAATAATAATAATAATAGATCATATCCTCAGCTGTTGCAAGAAAATTGCACAGACGGACTACAAGCAGAGGCACAACTCTGTGGCCCAAATGATTCACTGGAACTCATGTCACAAGTACCACCTACCAGCAGTAAATAATTGGTGGGATCATAAACCTGTAAAGGTAGTGGAAAATGAACACGCAAAAATACTGTGGGACTTTTGAATCCATACTGACAAAGTTTTGGAACACAATACACCAGACATCACGATTGTGGAAAAGAAAAAAAAGGATTATTGATGTGACAATATCAGATAACAGTCGCATGGAGGAAAAACAACAGGAAAAACTCAGCCATTATCAGGACCACAAAATCGAATTGCAAAGGCTCTGGCATAAACCAGCACAGGTGGTCCCAGTGGCCATAGGCACACTGGGTGCCATGTCAAAAGATCTCAGCCGGCATTTGGAAACAATAAACATTGACAAAATCACGATCCTTACTTGGATCTGTGCACATCATTCAAAAAATACATCACATAGTCCTAGACACTTGGGAAATGTTCGACTTGTGATTTTGTGATATGAAATCCAGCATATATATCACATTTGCTGTGACATACTTTTTATAATAATAACAACAACAGCAACAACTTTGACTGTCTTTAGTGCTTTCCTTCCTACCCACCTCTCTTGTGAATGTCATAACCAGTTTTAGTTTTAGTCCAGATTTTAAAAGCATTATCCCCAAGTACTGGATTTATTTTGGCTTTAATTTAAAACTAAACTTTAAACTAAGACCTGGAATGGATTCAGCATGCCATGAAGTTAAAACCACAACTGCCACTGATGGAGAGTCTTGCTTCTTACTTAAATCCTTGCAATAGCTGGGAGTGATTCTTGTTTTTTTTAGTCTTTGACTATTGGCTTATCATAATAACATGAATATTATGGCGATGTATGGCTGTTCCTTGGCTGTTGATCTGCTTGGACAAAGTGAGTGAAAGAAGGAGTGTGCACATATCTCATTGCCATAAGGGGTACTGACAATTGCCAACTTGGATGTCTTGAAAGGGGGACTGGATAAGATCATGGAGGATTTGGGCCAACTAGCCATTTACCCATCAGAATGGATATGTATTTGCCTCCAGTGACAGAGGCAGGGTGAATCTGTATATCAGTAGGCAGGGAGTGTGAAATGGAGGGTGCAACTGTAGTGAAACCTTGTTGATGGGCACCCCAGAAGCAATTAGCTGCTGTGATCTACTATGGCTTTTCTTACATTGTCATATACACAATGACACATATAATGATCAATACAGTTGATTGCATTTATTAAATCCTTGTGTGTGTGTGTGTTGGGGGGTGGCTGTGAGAACTGTAATGTATTTGGATGTACATAGATGTTGCACTATACACCTTCTTTTCACTCAGCTAACTACACTGCTTCTTTAGGTTTCCTGGAGACCATCATTGACTTGCCTTCAACTCTTTATAGCAGGCATGGGCAAACATCAGCTCTCCAATGTTTTGGATTTCAACTCCCTACTGGCTGTTAGGAATTATGGGAGTTGAAGTCCAAAACACCCGGAGAGCTGAAGTTTGCCTGTGCCTGCTTTATAAGGCTATCTCATCAGGTTTTTTTGAGGCAGGCAAGTCCTCTATATGAACATTGGAAGGGGCTTGCATTTAGGGGAAACAAAATGCCAATTGGCATCCTGCATCCTGTAAATAAAAAGAGCACAAAGTACTGGATTGTTGTAGGGTTTTTCGGGCTATATGGCCATGATCTAGAGGCATTGTCTCCCAACTTTTTGCCTGCATCTATAAACCCTTTTTCCTAGTTCCAACAGACCTCACTACCTCTGAGGATGCTTGCCATAGATGCAGGCGAAACGTCAGGAGAGAATGCCTTTAGACCATGGCTATATTGGACGAAAAACCCTACAACAACCCAGTGATTCCGGCCATGAAAGCCTTCAACAATACATTGAAGTACTGGATGTTTTGATGGCCTTTTGTGCAGCTTTGATTTTGGGAAGATGCATGTATTTTCCCCAGAAAGGCACAGGCTCATGCATTGCGGAAGACAAATATCATACTAACTGCTCTGCCTGCCTCTGCTTTGCTCCTCTCCTTGAGGCTAAAAATAATGCCCTGTGATGCTTTCCTGCTGGCACTGTTACACTTCAGGGACTTTGTGGAGGTGATGGGTAATTCTCCCCCAGTGGACCTATTCCTTCTGGACTCCAAGCCAGAACTCAACCCAGAGTTTCATTTATTTTCTGAGGAGGAAGTGGAAGCCAGCAAATAAATCCCCCTGATTGAGCTGGCTGTGTGCTTCAGAGTTTAAAAAAGGAAAGGAAGGGGAAAGCAATCCCAAGACTATTGTGCATCCACAAATAACAAAAATTTTGCCATGCCCAGAAATAGCTGCATTTGCAATGCAGTGATATATTTTTAATTTGCTAATCTAGCTGCCTTTTATCCTTGTCCAACGGGTTCTCTCATTTGATCCTCCGGCCAACCTTTTGGTTGAGAAAGGCTGTTAGATAAGGAAGGATGTTTTCAAGGTTAGATGGACCTTGACTACTTTTAAAAGCTAAGCATGGTCAGACCTGGTTAGTAGTTGTATGGGAGACCACCATGTGGAAAATGGGTTGAGGAAAGAATCTTGAATGAAATACTGGAGATGCATGTTGGGAGTGCTAGTTTAGATGGACCTTGGCTCAGTCATTACTCAAAGTGAAGGCTGCAGTCAAGAAATTAGGAGAAGACCAGGACTTATTTCCAGAGCTGAATTGCAAGACTTTGTAGAGATTTGTAGAGAGGTATCCTCTGCTGGAATTAGCTAAGTTCTCCAGTGGAACTCTGTGGTAGCTTCTGGGGAAAATATATTATAGAAATGCCATGAAGATCTAGCAAAAGCTTAGGGAATCCAGTTTGGACTGAAAATATAGGTTCTATGGCTATGGTTATCTTACTGTATGCGAACTACTCTGCAGAAGAAAGTGAAACTCCCAAATAGAGTTGGTTCTTCATTTCCTGGGGTCAGGGATGCAGGATCTCCATAAACGTGGAAAACTGCACATTAAAAAAACAAACCATTTCTCCACCTAAGAAAAAAATCCAAGGGCCCTTCCAGACAGACAGTTATCCTAGGGTCGCACACTTTCTGGGGTGGGTGTACGGATGCCCTTACGGGACTGGCTCGTAAGAACATTTGGAAGCTCTACTCCCTCCCCCAAAGCCCCCAAACACCTTTTAAGAGTAAAGAAAACTAGGCCTCCAGAACAGTCATGCAGTAGCTCTTCCAGCATGTAGCGATCCCTCCAGGAGAGCTGCTGCAACACTGTACTGGAGGCCGGGTAAGTTTTCTTTACTTTAAAAAGGGGGTTGGGGGCTGTGGACTAGGGGGGTGGGTTATCTGGACTAATTTATTCCAGAAAACAGTGGGAATTTTGTCTGGCCTGCAGTGAACGCCATTCCCGCCATTTTCTGGACTAAATTGCATTTTTCCGGACTAAACTGCAGTCCAGACACCAGAAATAGTGGCTTTATCCCATGCCTTCCAAGAAGGCATGGAATAAATCCAATATCTAATTAATTCTCTACAAACCAGGGTTTTCTTGGTTTGTGGCAAATTAATTCAGGATTGTCCAGGATGCCATATGGATAGCCCCTTCTTTATTGTGGGAGCTACCACAATAAAAGGGGCAGTCTGGATGCACCCTAGAAATCTCTAGCTCCTCCAGTGCGACTGTATAGTAAACTTCCACTAGAGAACCAAGAGGTCCCTAGAGAGAACATTTTAATCCATCTGCGAATAATCAAATCTTCAAATAAGGAGGGGCAACTGTACACAACAAATGCTATAAACCTTGACAGTTTCTTTTTTTTGTTGTTATCTGCAGCCACTTACTGAATCCTTGATTATGTAAACTAAGGAATTCAACAATTGAAACCTTCCTTTCCCCAGTCATTGGAACATGTTTATGAAACCAACAAAGAAACAAACAAACCCGTTCACAGTCACCTTTCATTTACAGGCTGCATGGAGGTTTTATGCCACCAACCTCAGCCGCACGGATCTGCATTCCACTTGGAATTACTACGAGAGAACAGTCACTGTTCCGATGTACAGGTGAGCTCCCTTCTTCTCCCCTTTGCTCCTCTTCTGTGGAGAACCAGCAGCATCAAACCTATTTTTTTTTACTATTACGTTAAAACAAACAGTCAGCTTTCATTTAATTTAAAGCCAATCAGAAAGATTATGTTGTTTTATTTTGCAAGTTTTCTTTTTTTTCCATGTATGTCTATTTTCCTAATTTTTAATGTCCATTCTATTAATTTTTGTTCACCCTTTTCTCGTATGTGTTTGTGTTTTTGTGTGTGTCTCGCCTTTTCCATTTTTTTATTTTCCTGCTCCTGTTATCTATCGGTGGTATTGTTATATCACAGTTGGTGCCACTTTGTCTGAAGACCACACCATCCTGGAGAGCTGTCCCTTGAAAAGTAGGTGATAAACAAGACTATCTTTCTTCCATGGTGCCCTGCAACATTTTGATCTGCATTAGCAGTAAGATCCATTTTCGTCTTTGTCTGTGAGGTGTCATTTTTGTGGCACATTACTCTTTTGGAGAACAAGGTATGGGCAAGGTGTGGTCCTCATGATGCTGATGAACTACAGTTCCCGTCAGCTCTAGCTGTCATAGCACATTGTGAGGAATGCTGGGAGTTGTAGTCCTGATGTTTCCAAAAGGCTACACTTGGTTCAGCCCAGACACAAACTTTAATTGTTTCCTAAGGTGGAGAGCAATGGGAGATTTATGTTGATATTTATACATATTTATATATGTATGGATGAATCCAATGTGTAATGGTTTGTGTTTTCATCTCATGTTTATGTGTTTTAATCTGTGTGTTTTAAATGGTTTTTAATTACACATTGTATTTTAATTTATGTTGTATCCACCTTGAGGAGAGGCGGGTAAGAAATACTACTACTACTAATAATAATAATAATAATAATAATATAAGGGGACATGTTTCTCACCCCTCATATAAAGTATATGCTTTATAATAAGGCACCCCAACAACTGCACTGCAATGGTGAGGAACACCAATGGAACTTACGGTTGGATTTTCCTATCTCAAGCTATCCATGGAATGGACAACATCTCAGGTGTAATTATTGTGCCCTTTGATGTGTGAGCACATTTCTAGTCTTCTTCCCCATGGGGGGAAGAGAAGGCTGGATATAATTATTTTCAGTTTTCAATTCCAGCAGCTCCTAGAATTCTTGACTGGACCTATTAAAAGCAGACACTTATATCTTGTAACTGAGATGATAGTGCCTTCCTTTCTCACTTAGGAGCAAGGTTTTAGGAATCACAATGGAATCTATACACTAAGATGGATCTGAACCTGGATTAGGCCTTTGGGTAGAGGTTTTTCTCTTGTAATTTAGTGATCACAGTTCTGTTGGCCAAGAAAAAGTATGAACAGAAAACATGGGCATCCTTGAGCAGCTGGGCTAAACTCCACTTCTGGTTGGATCCATATCTACACTGCCATATAATGCAGTTTGAAACAGCATTATATGCTCAGTTTACACTCATAATGCAGTTTAACTGCATTGAACAGAACAACGTTGGTCTCAACTGAATGTATAGTGCAGTTTCAAACTGTATTATATGGCAGTGTAGACAGAGCTAGACTCCCTGCTAGAAAGCCAAGCCCAGGATGGGGATGAGGCTTGCATGCTTCAGCAGGATGCAGAGAACAAGGTGTTTGAACAAATCTGCATATGGGCAACCCTGAGTTACAAACATCTGACCTGCAAATGATTCATAGTTACGAACAGGAGTGGAACAACAGGAAGAGAAAGAAATACCACTAGGAAGGGAAATTCACTCTTGAAAGAGTTATTATCCTGGGAAAAAGGTGTCTCAACTGAAGCTTTATCATCAATCCTTATTTCCACAACAAGACAATTTTTTTCAAAATCAAATTCTCACAGGGATGGAAAGTAAGGTAAAATCTTCTGACTCTGGGAATAGATAGCAAAACAAACACTACAGGGATATTAAACCTTCCTTATGCTATCCAAGGGCCTGTTCAGACAGTACCTTTTTTTGAGGTAACTCTCGCAATAAAGGAGGGGCTGTCCAGACAACGTTCTGGACAGTCCCAAATTAATTCGCAACAAACTAGGAAAACCCTGGTTTGTAGCGAATTAATTAGACAGTGGATAAATCCATGGCTGTGAGATATGTTTCCATTCTTACATTCACATCTTGAAGAGAAATGGAGACCTAGTTTTCACATACAGGGTAGAACTATTTGGAGATGCTCCCAACTTAATAGTGGATTTTACCCACATTTCAATCCTCATCAGTTTAATTAAAACTCTTTGGTACCCTCAAGTAAATGATGCATTGTCCAACACCTCCTTATTTTCTTCCTAATGGCTGAACACTAGTCCAAAAAGCCATAACAAATAAATGGGATTTTGTGAGACTGAATGGTTTTTGGGTTGCTGTTGGAGTGAGTGAGAGATGTCTGCTCGATATCAAAACCAAGCTGCATTCAGTCTATTTCTTAATGTGTGACATATTAAAGCAGACAGACTGAATCTTTTTTTTTTTTTTTTGCCAGTTGCAAGGCTGTATTGAACAGTATATTTTCACAGGATAGGATCATCTCTATAACTGTTAATCTTGCAGGAAGATTATTGTCTAATTTGCATTGGACATTCAGTGCCATCTGTTTTGCATCTGAGAGATTATGGGAGTTATAATTCAGCACATCTAGAGGGGTCAGTTTTGGGAAGGCTGACATGTGGCTTAAGGCAGGAAGGGCAACACTGTACACACCCTCCCCCTTTGGAGCCTCTATCATCCCTGTTATTGGTAATTTTTAAACAATGCATCATGTGGCCCATACCCTGAGATTAATTGGAGGAGAATGGATTCTGTTGTCTATGTTCCATTGTAGATGTACCTGTCATTTCACTTTAGCTACTGTTAATAGATAGAGCCCCTGGTGGTGCAGTGGGTTAAACTGCTGAGCTGCTGAACTCACAGAAAGGTCACAGGTTTGAATCCGGGGAGTGGGGTGAGCTCCTGCTGTTAGCCCCAGCTTCTGTCAACCTAGCAGTTCGAAAACATGTAAAGGTGAGTAGATCAATAGGTACCACTTCAACAGGAAGGTAATGGCGCTCCATGCAGTCATGCTGGCCATATGATGTTGGAGGTGTTGGAGGTGTCTTTGGCTTAAAAATGGAGATGAGCACCAACCCCCAGAGTCAGACACAACTAGACTTAATGTCAGAGGAAAATCTGTAATATTAGCAGGTTTAGCTACGTTTGAGACAGAGTCTGGTCATTTTAATGCTTGACTGGGAATTTGGGAGACTAGGGTTGAAAACCCAACTTGGCCAAGGAAACCCACTTGGTAATTATTTATTATTTATTATTTAAAGCATTTATATTCCGTCCTTCTCACCCCGAAGGGAACTCAAGGCGGAGCACAACATATAAACGGCAAACATTCAATGCCAAAACATACTAGACTATACACATACAAAAACATTAAAATCACTTATCTTGATGTTAAAATCCTCTACTTAAAACTGTCTCAAACAAACATATCAAGTTTGGGCAGTTGACACTTTCTCAGCCTCAGAGGAAGAAAATGCCAGGCACATCTGAACAAATAAACTGGTTGAAAAATGGTTTGTAACATTTAACATAGGGAACGTACCCAATTCTGTATTAAATGTTGAAAAAATATTTTGTATTCCTTTCCATTAAATCTGCCCTTCATGTTTTGGAAGAAAGACTATCTTATTCAGATGTGCTGATTTCCACTGATAATATCAGAATGTTGCTGCTCTAAATAGTTTTTTGGAGTCCTGTTTTCTTGTCTAGTGGTATTTCCTTGCACAGAGAGGCAGAGAGAAAGAGACATGGTAGGGAATCCCCTCTGTGATGCCCGAGGAGGGGAGGTTTCCCAGAAGCAAGGCTTCTTTCCAGAGATCTTCCTAGCTGAGAAGCAGACTCTGCCATTTCCCTGCAGGCAGATGACACAATATGGCAATCCTGAGCTTGGGGAAGCCAAGCGGAAGCTGGGACAGGGAGGTTGAGGGTATTTCCCTGGATGCTAAATACAGCAGGCTCTGTCAGTTTCCACATCCATGGTTTTCTCAATGCGCCAAGCAACCCCAGGCTAGCGATGTGCAATGTGTAGGTTCTCTTTAATTTTTAATGTGCTTATGGGAAACTGTGTGATATATGCTCGCTGAAAATAACACTGATCGGCCGGTCATGACCTTGTTTCGTTGCAGCTTGCACAAAAGGGTATGTCAGCGAATACAATGAGCACTTTAATTAATTACCATCAAGTCAGCTTTAATTTATGGCAACACTATAAATGATAGATCTCTGAGACACCCTGTCATCATCAGTCCCTCTCAAATCATGGAAACACCATATCCTCCAAGATTTCACAGATGAAAACTGGGACATATGTGGCTATGCAACATTGGAGTATGGTCAAGATAGCAAAACCTTGAAGACAACCTAGGAGAGACTGCAGCAGTTTGCTTTTGCCCAAGCCTACTGGGAAAGGCTAAATGCCCTCTTCCTCTTCAGTCCCTCTTGCTGAGTTCATTGAACACAAACTACTTTTCTGCTTAAAAATCAATTTGCATCCATGCAAGTAAGCCAACAACAAGGAGGCAAAGTAGGAGGAGATAAACATTGGGGTGTATTGAAATTGGTTGAAAAAGTGGCAGAATAGAGGAATAATTGGGGTTATTCCTGCCAAATCGAAATAGTTGCAGCCTATGAAACTATGGGTTATTGTGCTGTCGGCACGTGCTGGGCCTGTGGCAATGTCTATTTGCAGGACGTGCTTTCTGTATGCCCAACGGAACGCCGGGGCTGCCTCAGCTAAAGGGCCCTTGGGTTTCCCACCACAAAGTTCTGTAGAAGCTTAAAGTAAGTTCAACAAAGTTCATTATTGGTGCTTAAATCTTCACCAAAGGAATTAAATACTGTATAACTCTGGAAAACTATTAATTTTCTTAGTCTGCCCACAAGGCACAGGCAACTGGTTAATGAACTGTTCCTTTTCCTT